GCACGATGCGGTCACAGCTCGTCGGAGCGGCTGTCAGCGGAGACGGAGCCGGAGGCGGTCGGTTAAGGGCGCTGAGCGCTGCGACGGACCTGGCAGGGCCGGGGCTGCCAGCAGCAAACGGGGCAGCGGGAGGCTCGGGAAGAAAACCCGCGTCCGGCGTTTCCCCATGCAAAGCGACAACCAGCGACGCCACAGATACCCTACCCCGTCCCTCCCTTCACCGCCCCAGGCACATCGACGTAAGAAAGAGGGAAACAGCGATGTCCAAGGGAGCCCGGCCCGCTGACAGCCGCCGCACCGCCCGGCCCCGCAGCGGGACGCGGCCGGCAGCGCAGCCGGGCCTGGGCCGCTCCCGGCTCACCTGGTGGCGGCGGTTCCTCGCCGCCCACCGCCCGGGTCCCGGGGCATCCCGCGAAAGCAGAGAGTGTGCGTCCCGAGCTCGGCTCCGCAGCCCGCCGACGCGCGCTCCCTCAGCGGCGCCGGCCCGCCGCCATTACCGGACAACGACTGACACGGAACGGCGGCGGCAGCGGCGCGGGGCAGGGCGGGAGCACCCGCCAAGTCTCGCGAGAACCGGCGCGCCGCGACCTCCCCAAGATGGCGGCGTCCCGTCGCTGCGCGCCGCTCCTTACCTCGGCGCCATGTCGTTTGCGGCTCGGCCCGGCCGTCCCACTCCCGGCTCGCACCGGGTCCGGCGAGCGGCTCCGCTCCTATCTCGGCTGGAGCCCGGGCCGAGCCGGGGGACGGACCAAGGGCGGCGCCTGCTCGGCACTGCCGCTTTCATGGTGCCCGCAGAGCCCACGCAGCGCCGCGCCTGGCCCGGGGCGAGACGGCGCCTGGCTGCGGGCGGGGCGAGGCGGCCCTGTGGCGGGGCTGCTGTGCTCTCAGCGCCGTGAAGGGCTTTTTTCCAGCGCGTCCCTCACGGCTTGTATTCTTTCCGTGCCGGTTCGTGCAGAGCGGCAGGGCTCGATGCCTCGGGTTTGATGCAAGAACGGCACTTTGTCATGTTAACTGCCGCCGTGTTCCTTTGGGCTGCAGCCCAAACTGGGGCACCATCTTCATAAAAATCACGCTTTTTTTTTTTTTTTTTTTTTTTTTTTTTTTTTTTTTTTCTCCCAAAATGAAAGCAGCTCTGAATGCCGAACTCCCTGTTTCCAAATTTAACAGTTAACCCACATTTCACAAATAGGTCTGAGATGTTATCTGGCTGCAGCAGAATTATTTCCATTGAAGAAGGAAAGTCATTAGAATAGGAAAAAAAAAAAAAAAAAGAAAGAAATTATTCCTCTGGTTATTTTGGGAACGTCTCCTTGAGGGCCTGTCTGCAGCCTCGCCAGACTCCGGTTTCCAGTAATTAGTGTGATGGCTTGATTACAGATGCCAAATTTCTTGGGGGAGCACGGGGGTGGAGTGCTATCTTCCATAGCCCCTAAAGGAGCACTGAAATTACTGGGGATATTTTTTTCCTTAAGGATTAAACTATTTTTACATAACCCCTCTTCTTGTGAATGGCAAATGTCCTGCATATAAAAATTCCAGTATGGGAACAACACGGGAAAGCAGCCCGAATGCTGAGACCATTGCAGCTGCAGAGCTTGAGCAACTCAGAACTTAATCATGTCACAATTACAGGGTACCCATTGAGCCTTAATTTGGCTCCTTTACATACACAGTCTAATTACAGAGTGTATTTTCCAGAGTAAGCATACCTCCTTTGAAACAAGAGGTAAGCTTGAGATGGCAGTGGAAAATGTTTTTTGTGTTTTTCTCCAGATAAGAGACAGAAATAATTGGACAAAAAGACAGGCACAGCTCTGATGGGAAAAAGTGGTAGGGAGTGCCTCATTCCCTCCCAAGTCCTAAAAGAACAAACCTGCACCTTCTAAATGCAGAAGACTCTTTGTACTAATGACAACTTCAGTCAATGCGGGCGATATTACTGCAGCATATGAGAGCCCTGATCACAGAGAAGGGAAATTGCATTATTCCATTCTCCATCATCACCTGGTGTTTGCTTAAATTCAGTCATTAATATTGCTGCCTTGGCAGCCTAGTTAAATTATTCAGCACTTTTGTAATGCATTACCTTTTTAATTATGCTTTTAAACTTAGCTTCTCATTTCTGCTTGGAAGCAGTTCATCTAGTTTCAGGCTCCTTTTCATTTTCAGGCAAACAGGGAATTGCATTAGAATTTTCTCAAACATGAAAATAATTTTTCAGCCAGTCAAAATTATAAGGCATTGTTTGTCTACTGCATTTTTTGCTTCTGTACAGCTTCTATTTATTCTCTTTATCCGTGGAACTTAATCATAAAACTTTGCATTACGTTTTTAAAACTCCCTACCAATGGGCATAAAGCTCTGACAGGCAGGTCTTGTGCTAAAAGAAACAAGAGAGAAACTCACAACACATGCAGTCCCCTTGTGAAATTCTCCAAGATTAGAAATAAGGAGGCCGTTTACCTGCAAACAGCTGCAGCTGGGAGAAAAGGAAAGACTCTCATCCCAATTCAGTTTGATGAACTGCTTGTTACACTGTGAAGCAATGGAGACACTGCTGCGAGCACTCCCCAGGCGCTGGAAGTGGTGGATGGATACAGTAAGTCAGGGCTAAACAGCCACAATCTCATCTTACACTAACTTTGTTATTGCAGCTTTAAGAGAGAGGTTTGGAAAGTTTTCCACTCCATACTACTATTGCACGCCCCTTCTAAAATTAGAAAAGGGGCAGCTGGCTATTGCAGCCAAAAGAGCTGCTAGTAGTTCCCCCCCCTCCCAGCCTCCCTCCCTGCTTTCTTTGACTGGCATGGCTCCCAAGAGCCAGAGAAGAATTTGGGGAAGGGTGCTTCCACCTGTTGAATGTGGTATGAGGTCTTCCAGGCTCTCCATTATAAATCCAACTGTCAGGCACTGACAATAAAACAGGACACAGGACAGCTGTGAGAACCACAGGAAACTTCCCCTCCCCATTTTCTTTCTATATACTGGTACAATTTTGCAGTTTGTCTTACAGCAGCATGAAAAATTGTTCCCCGTGTGATTTGTGCTTAGAAAACAGAAGGGCTCACTACACATCACTTCAGATTTGTTCTCAGTTTTCCAGCTGGGCTACAGGGTCTTAGCACAGAATCTGGCAAATTGTTCACATGTTGTTGTGCATCTCTAAAGCCAGATTTTTTTTTCCAAGTACATAATAGCTATTGAGTGTAGCTCTGCTCTACACAGCAAGTACTTGTAAGTCTACCTTAATGGGGAGCTCACCTTGCCTTCTGCACCCAGTTTGAGCTGATTTGATTATCAGTTCTAAACAAACACATCTTTCAAAAAAGAATATTGAATCCATGATTTTTTTTCTTAATTTGTGGGGAAAAACTGTTCAGAATTCCTCTGCTCAGCGTGACTGAAAGCAGGGTGTGAGAGACAAGGTAAAAACAGATGAGGCAGTGCATTGCTCTAAGTCCCTTTTAAACCATGCACTGCTCAAGGCAAAACAGGTATTGCCTTCCTCTAGATGCATGAAGGCGACAGCAGGAGTTGCAGAAGGCGGCCCACATTCTACTTTCTGAATGCTCTGGCTACCTACAGGGCACTGTCACCAGCTTCCTGGCACTTGTATGCTTGCATCAGGAGCAGTTTGCACCGGGATAAGAACCCTGCTGGAGCAAAATTGAGTTTCTCATTCCTGTGTGCCTCACTCCCATTTTCCAGCACTCCCATTTTACAGCATTATGGAAAATAAGTGTTCTGAAGTGTGCTGTTTGCAAATTGGTTTGACTGGTCCTGCTCCTCTAGAATCACATTTTACCCAAAGTTTATATAATCTAGGTCTACAGAACATAAATCATTCCCTTTCCAGCCTAGGCCTAGGCTCTTCGCTGTCTATAACCACATCTTCACTATCACAGTCTATTTAATTTGCTGTTGACTATTAGGGAGAGGCAGCTTCACAAATGACATTTCTCTGGAAGAAGCCAAAGTTTCAGAAACATCAACAGGCTCAGTTTACTGCAGGCGATGAAATAAGACATGGAGGGTAACAATCAGCTGCCTGTGAGCAACAGACATACTATTCTTCAACTCTGGCCCAGGAGAAGTTACTTAAGATCTGCATTAAGTACCTATGGATACTTGATAAGAGCCTTTAAAGGACAAAGCCACAAACTGGACTTACTTCTTCAGCAGTAGGAAGCCTTCTAATTCCAGCCCTTCCACTCCTCCAGAATGGGCTGTGTATAGCATTTTGCTTTTAATTTATTTTTCCAGACTAAGCAGCACACTGTAGATTTGGAAGTACACCTCACTTTTCTTGCAATTAACAAAAAACCCCACAATTATTGTCTGACACAACACTAAGTAGAACGTTAAGTCTTTAGCTTCAAGACACCTTCCTATTTGGTCTTGAAATAGTAGAACACAGCCCTTTCATCTCATGGGAGACAGCTTTAGAAAAAAGAAACTGAATCACACGTGTTTTATTAGTAATAACAGTGTGAATCTCCCACCATTGTGGCATGGCTCAGTCTGCTGAGTTTATCCTTTTTTTTTCCCCCCCCCAAGTTGGCTTTCAGTTCAGACCTGTCCCTCAGGCCTGGTCACAGCACACTAACTTGGCACAGCAGAGGTACAGGAATGTGCAGCCAGAAATGGGCCAACAATGGAATCATCCCTTCAGTCATCTGACTGATATCAGACAAATGAAACAAGTGAACCATATGCTAACTTTGAATCAGAACTGAGAAACAGCACAAGGACACCAAGCATGAGAAAATCCAGAGCTATTACAATTTCCTGAGTTGTGCCCAGTCGGGGAGCAGCCCAGATACTATCAAATACATACATCTGCATCCCAATAGCCATCACTCCACTCAAGTTTCTTGGAGCTCCTAAATTTTGCAGAAGGTTTTATTTTAGGCATCTGTATCTGGTCAAAGGTAAAGGGAACAGTCTTAAATACATGAACAAGGAATTCTGACCACGTAACATTCAATAGGCAAATCTCATGATGTTTATAAAACAAGTAGATTTATTTTTTAATGATTACTGAAGTAGTTTACAATAACATACAAGTAGATTACTATCAGGATACACTCAGAAATAAGTCACAGTTTGTTTTTTTCTTTAAAAAGAAGCATTTGTCCAGTGAAATGTTCAAAATGTAAATGCCACCTTTTTCTTCCTGAGCTACTCTTAAACACAGAACAGCAGCACTTCCATGTCTTTTTACAGTTTGTATTTCTTCTCATTAAAAGAAGAACTGGTATCCAGTGCTGGCTCTCAGTGGTAAACACAACTCCACCGCTGGCTCAAACAACCACAGCTGTGTCTCTCCAACTGCACTCTTTTATACACTTCTCTTTTACACACTTCAGGTGATTTTGCTCAATCCCACATTACACCCCAAATCTGTGCTTGCACAAGAAGCCAGACGTTCCAGCATTTCCAAGACGTTCTCCTTGACAACATGACAGCTCAAGGGACTTGTGAGTAAAGGATGGGCCCAAGAACCACTAAGCTCTCAGCTGTTAAAGAAAATGACCTGTTAATTTGAGAGCAGTATTCACACATTCCTTTGTACTCAACACTGAATACGTGTAGACCAATGGTTCAGCAGCATCACTAATAGTAATGAAATGGAAGTGCTGCAATTCACTTTTTTTTTTTTTTTTTTTTTAATACAAAAAATATTTACAACAGAAAGACACATCTTTTTAGTCTGGTATGAGGGATTCTTGGCAGGAGGCACTCTTAAAAATGTGTTTTAAAAACATGCCTTGCAAATCTGTTCTTCACTAAAAGCTTATACAGCAAGCGCCAGGTTATACACAGACATGAAAAAAAGATTTGTTTTCTAGTTTACAAGGTACCACAAATAAATACACTCTCTTAATGCAAAAATAATGATCTTCTTAAGGTGAGAAATAATTATGTCTTGCTAAGGTTTTATTTGAAAAGGAGATGTAACATTTAGTACATACATGGTAGACATTTTTCCTCAATTCTCCCCAAATTTAAAGAGTTGCAGAACTTCTGAAGCAGTGATGCAAAGAGGGGCTGAGGAATCATTTAACTAACATTTACTACCAGCATCAAGGTAATACTTTGTACATCAGCTTTTCTCACTCTCCAAACTGGTCAGAGTATGAAGAAATTTGAGGAAGAAATGCTTGCTGAAAGATTCTCTGCAAGTCACAAATCTCTCAAGCAATTCTGTCATTTCAAGAAGTCTCCAGAGATAGCTGACATTTATGCTATGATTATATGGATTCATGTCACTTTATCATTGCTAATGTATTACAAGAAAGGTAAATTCTGTCCATTGAAGGTGATAGTTTGTCTTGTTACCTTATCACACGTGATTCTAGCTTTACCTGCCAGCAGAAAAGGCTCTTCAGAGCAAAGCCAACAAGACAACTTCACAAGCAGATGAGTGGCTCTGCAGTGGCACACACTTGCTTCTAATTCCAAGACACCAAACCTGAGTAAGTTACTGAAGGCAACTTACCAAAAACTAGCAAGTTCCTTGCTTGCCTTCTGCAGGTTTTGTTCAGAGTCCCAGTCCCAGCTACTCTAGCAACCCTGCCACCTGATGAAGTTTCTTTGCGCAGAAACTGTGTGTGTCTGAGCTCAACAGCCACAGTTCTTCCCTGTTCAGCCATGACACCACATTTTCTGTCTCCTTCCTTTCCAAAGGCCACTCTAAAGCCTGTTATGTGCATCCCTCCATAGAGAAGCTCTTTTCAGGCCAAACAGGCAAGACAAGATGAGAGATACGGCTCCACAATCCACTCAGCTTATCTGTATCTATGCTGTTAAAAGAACCAGGAACATCAGAACTAGTGAACTTGGTCCGAAGGAAATCCCGCACCTTCTCCTCAACTTCTTGCAAGGTGAGGCTTCTTCTCAGCGACTGCTCATCCAGGAGAACCGTCAGCAGAAGAGCCACATCCTTGAATGCTGCATTTTCATGGTCACAGTACTTGTAGAAGATCAGGGTGGAGCCTGCAGGCAGCAGCTCAAAACGATGCACCACTGCTACCTTCTTGCCTTGTCTGAACCCTGAGCTGAGCTCATCATCCACCTCCAGCTTAACAACATCACTGTCCAATACGGCTTTGTCTGCCCCGTTAATTTTGATTGTAGTGGCATTCTGGGAGAATGCAAAAGCATTGGCAATCTCATCACTAAGACACCTCAGCGCTTTCTCAGCTTCTCGACCAGCTGTGAACAGTAAGATGGCTGGCTCCAGGTGCAGGTGGGAAGTATTCAGGTGCTTCTCAAGGAACACATGGGTTCTCTTCCACAGACTGGGGTCCTGACTTTGGTATGTATTTCTGAGTTTCTTCATCCGGGCCCGAAATGCTTGTAGAATTTGAGTATTTCTACTTGACAAAGTTGCATCTGGAAGGCTTTGTATTTTAATCCACAGGAAGGCAAACAATGAGATACTAATTAACAGAACAAATAACAAAGTCCATCCCTTGCAAAATCCATTCTGTGATCCATCCTCTATAGAAAAGAGGAGCAAACAACAACAAAAAGAGAAAGAAAGAAAATACAGCAGAAGTTAATTAACTGATTTCACTCTTAAGCTAGTGGTACAGTAGTGGAAAATAAAAATGTTCTAGTTTAAAAGAGAACCTTCCCAATTTCATTTTTCAGGTTAAAAGTAGTGTTGTGAAATCCTCACTTCTTCAGCAACATAACACGTCCTCATTACAAGTTAATCTGAAAATGCTTCAAAATAACCAAGACACTGGACATTCTTCTGAAAAAGGAGCTGAAAGCTCCACCCTGCCTTCAACCAAATCCAAACTCAGTTTAAAGTGGCAAAGCTCACAAAGGTTAAACTTGTTCCTCCATTTAGTTTCTGTAGAAAGAACCTGATAGAAAATCTGGCAGTACCAGAACAATTTCCGTTGCTGTTTCTCCCCAGTCTTCTTAAGTATAAACATGCATTATTTGTATCTCAAACACAGGTTCTCAATATTCCAGCGAACGCATTCTCAACCAGCTTCACAAAGAAGACACACAGCAAACAGCGCACAGAGCACAGTGAACATCAGAAACTTGGTTTTGGTTGCAAATTAAAACAGCTAAACTAACACGTGTTTGACCTACTGCAAAGCATAAGGCTTGATTCTGTCCCCAGAAAAACCCATAATAAAACAGACCAAGTTCTCTGGCAACAAAGAACTTACACTACATTGTCGGGGATTTTGTGGGGTTTTTTTGTGTTTTGTCTTTTTAATGTCCTAACCTTCAGCAGGACAGCAACACAACAGCTATTAAATAATACCACCACTAGGTCTGCCTCAATTTTAATTGCAGGGCAAACCTTGTAGACAGTACAAATGGAAGATGTTCAAATAGTGGTGAAAACACTTCCCATACATCACACAAGACTCTTCCCTTCTTCAGTACTGAAAACACACGCCCTAGTGAGCAAGGCATTGGTTCTGTCAGTTCTTGCTCAGTTTGAGCAAGCCAGCGAGTGCTTAAAATAATGCACGTAAGAAATAGAAGTGAAAGCAGAAGTCTTACTTTTGGCCAAGTGCTGTGACTGCTTCCCTGTGCTGGGCCGATCTCGGAATTTACTTCTGCCTGTCAAGATTAAGAAAGGAACATGAGAAAAATATACAAGCATAGCCAACCTTCCAGTGGAGAGAGGGCTTACAGTCTTACTGTAACTAGGGATATGCATGCTCCAGAAACCTGCAACACCTAGGAAGGGTCACATTTCCTTCTCCAAATCTAATTTCTGTTTAATTAACAATAGCAAGTTGGCATGGTGCCAGTAACTTCAATGCAGGTTGTAATGCAGGCCTGTTATCTCAATCAGATCACGGCCCCATATTGTGCACCAATAACTGCTGGGGCTTCAACTTAAAATATACTATTAGCCTATTGATTTGAATGGGTTCGGACAGCAAAATACTAGAGACATTATCCATCAAAGAGTGTTATGAGCAACTTTCCCAAGACCTGCATGAATACAGTGCAATTATAGGTCAGCATGTTTTCTCCATTTAGTCTGTTAATTAAGAAGATGTGAGAATTTCTGGCTCCTTGAAAGCTAAAGCAACTGGTTTCAAAGCTGAAGGCTCTTTAGTAACATATAACCAAATCCAGATACTGTCAATGACACTACTGAGAATAAACTGAACAAACACACCCTGCAGTGGTTACTTCAAGAACACCAAAATAAACGCAACAGCCTTGCTTCTGTATGAGTGTAATGACAGTGGGTGCTAAAAGCAGTTCTGGTTTAAGCCAGTGCTTGAATGACTAAATGAGCAACTCTGTTCTGCAACTCTCTGACACCCTCAACAGGACACAGGCAGACCCTGTCGAGCACTCTCCCAAGAGAAAAAGCCAACAAACATCAACCAACACACACACAAAGAAAACAAGCAAGCAAACCACTGGAAAACCCCATCTCTCATCCAAAAGCACAAAAATCCGTAACAGGGAATTGGTCATTAGATGAACAGGCTTAAGTTGGCCAGCACAGAAGAAAGCTGTTCCTCTTTATCAGACAGCTAGTTCAAACCACAGCAGGCCTCCGTTACCCCAGGAAGGCTTACAGAGGAAGGTGACTTGTGTACATCCTGATCCACTGATCACTGAGAGTGAAGGTTGTGTTCTTTCCCTCAACCCCACAATACTCCTGCTCAGTGCTCTGCACTTAGTGACTGCCCCATGAGTCAACCCAGCTCAGCCAAAAATCAAAAAAAAGTGAGGGGGGAGGGGTCATTTTCTGTTGGGTGAGCAAGTTGAATAACTGATAAAACAGAAAAGTCAAGCTCTGGAACAGAGCAGCTTCTCCAGCTTCCATGTGGGCCTGCCTCTTTGACCCCTCCCAGACAAAGAGTTAAAAGGCACAAGAAAAATACTAGCAGAAGAAAGGAAAATATTCTGTAGCATTCTCGTATTTACAGGGAAGGACTTGGAATCTATTTTTCCACTTACTCTGTGATTTTGTAGAATGGTGCTCTTGAGTTTTCTCAAAGAAGTCATCCTTACTTTCTGAAACCAAAGCAAAAATTATAAATGAAACTGTGACTGCATCCGAGTTTACAACAGTAAGACGTTTCCAACACGTGTTTCAATCTTGCAATGACTTCTTCAGAGCTTATCAGGGAAGGAGTACACAGCGTACTGCCAAACTACTCACATGAGCCTCTCAGACCCCTCTGTAAAGGAAGAAAGCTACCACATCTAACAGGAAGGGCCTGCCACTTGGTTCACACCCATCTTTTGTCAGTCTGCGCTCACAACTGCTTTCAGGCTTCTCCCACAAGCAGCGAATTTAGCCGGGTGATTAAACAATTACTGATTAAATGAATTTCAAGCCACTCCCTGATTCTTCAAGCAGTTAGCTACCAGCTCCACCAGATCCCCCTCCCAAAACAACATTTTAAACATCTTCGTCCATTCAGGTTTCAGCTCAACTCCTCCTTCAGTATCATTTGAGTACAATTAAGCAATCATTTATTACATCACAAGAAAGGCATGGACAAAACTAGCGCTGTTACCTTTCAGTGGTGTATAAACATTAGGCTGATCCCCTGCTGAATACTTGTGCTCAGTTACATCATAATCATTCACTTTTTCCTTTGCTGGGCTCTCTGGAAGGAAGGAAGCTGAAGAGCCACCTGTTGGGTAAGAAAAGAGAGATAAAAAGAGGCCTGATATAATCTCAGTATGACTGGTGCTCATAACATCACAAAAACAATGGACAAGATACAGTTTTAGAATGTATATGAACTACGTTTGTGTTTTTCTGGTTACGATCTCCCAAGGGTTACTTTCTTGACACCAAAAAGCAACTAAGAATTGAAAAGCTTATGGCACATTGGACAGCTGTGTTTGCAGAGGATTCCATGCTGCCACACAGATTTATTTTGATTTTTTTTTTTTTTTTAAAAGAGCTTTTGGCTTAAAATCAGTTCAGAGCATAACACCACATGCTGCTTCTCTCCAGGGCACCCACATCCCTCACTGAACCCCTCAGGGAGCTCTCAGGCATCAACCCACACCATCAATGTTTGTCCAACCCCGCAGCCACTGAGAGGCCAAAACCCAACTTAGCACTGCCAACAGAAAGAATAAAGTCCAGTAAGGTGGCAGAAGCTGCAAAGCAAAGGTCAGGGCCGGCTGACCAGCCAAAAGAGGTGCTCGCAGGAAAAAAAAGAGGTTTGAAAAGATGAAGCCATGTTTAAGGCTGCCAAACAACAGCCGCAGCATGGCACTACGCGATGCCACCGCCTTCCTGCCATCCCACCCAGGATGCTTCAGCTCAGCGGGCGACCGAACTCGGGGGCAGGGGAGCAGCGGAGCAGCAGGGCCGGGACTCACCTGCCGCCCTGCAGGCGCGGATCGGGGGCCGGGTGAGGCTGCCCGGGCTGCCGAAGGACGGCTCGCCTCCTGCAACGAGATTCCGCTTCTTGACTCCGTTATCAAAACTCTCCGCCCGCTTCCCCAATCCGCCCGCCCGCCCCATTCCGCGCCGCCCCACCGCGCCCTAAACCGCAAGATCCACTGCGCTACGCCCGCCCGCGCCGCTCACCCTCCGGCGCCCCACCGGAGTCGGGCTCGGCCTCGGCCGCGAAACGGGGGCTCTTCCGCCTGTGCTTCAGCTCCGGAGCGTGCGGCGGAGCCTGCTCCTCGCCGTCCCCCATCATCCCGTCCTCTGCTGCGCGCTGCACCGAAGCTGCCGCCTTCCCGCGGCGGAGGCGGCTCCGCCAACCTCACTTCCCGAGGCGGGGAGAGCTCCGCGCCCGCCGCTTCCGCGTCACGTGGGACAGCACATGGGGCGCGCACTGCGCCGCCTTTATTTCCGGCCATGCCCGACGTGACGCGGAAGTGGCGGGCGCGGGGTTGGGCGGATGGACGGGGGGGAACGCTGCGACCTTAACGGAGCTCTGCAGCTCCTGTCCGCTGTGTCCATCATGCTGTTCTTTACCTTTGGCCAGGGTGCGAGATGGATGGCACCCAAGAGCACAACCCTGGGGGAGATGATGTTCTATGCAGATTCTGACCTTGGATTCTTGCATAACAGAGCATCGCGGGGAGCGCAGCTCGCTGTAGATAAGTCACTTAGGCTTTTTCCTTTACGCTTTGCCGTTCTTCCTGTTTTTACAGCCCTCTGCTGCATCCGGTGAGAGATTGTTCACGACAAAAGAATTTGCCGAGTCTGTCTAGAAGGGAGATGGACTCTGTCCCCTGCACCTACAGAGTCTTTGTGGTTAACAGAGGGAGCTGCTGCCTGCTTTGCTGCAGGAGGGGGAGCAGGGCATCCGCTGGCTGTTCCCAACCAGAGGAATGCAAACAGAATGGCACACAGGTCCCCTTCTGGCTTTAACATCCCTTAGTGGGCTAGCCTAGCCTGGTCACTAGGTGTATATCCAGACACTCTCTCAGTCCTGCTTCTCAGCAGGACAAGGGGAGAAGATACAAGGAAAAATAAGAATCAGGGCTCAGGATAAAAGCCAAATCTGCTAATAGAAGCAATGAAAAAATCAATTACTCTATAAAGCACAGCACTGTATTTGCTGCCACGAAGAGAGAGATCTCCATCCCATCCAGACCCTTGTATGTCCCTCATACTCCAGCTCTGGGTGTGGGAGCACAAAGAGCAGAACATGGAACAGGTTTTGTTCACCTTAGTGACACCTTCCATTGCGAAGTACAACTCCGCCAAGTCCTGCACTGCCTGTTTATGAACCTGGTGACCAGAAATAAGTTTGATCCTTTCTCACACTCTGCCTTCATTGCCCGAGTGCCAATAAGGACTGAAGATCTCCTGTACACAGAATTAAAAATGTTATTTCTTTAACTCCTTTGAACTTGACCTACTGTCTGGTGCGTAGGTGTCTAAAGTTCTGGCAACAAAGGGTTTGGTGAACAACAGCTCCACCAGACTTCTGCTCTCCAAACTGAAGAGCTCCAGACACAGCCTCAGCTTTATAGCAGCACCACTCCAGTTGCTGTTCCTCGTGCTTTGTTTCAGCCATTTGGTATTGGGCTGTATTGAGGGTGTTTGTGCACAGGTTGTAGCCTGATCTGGGGGGCTGCAGCATCTTGCCCTTGCACTGATACCTTTGCCTTGGTGTGATGTTCCCATGTCACCAGTTCCTATGAAATAGGTCCTGGGGCAGGGGGTAGAAAAGATGGAACATATCTATCCCATGTAGGCACAGCAACATGTATTATCGTTTTGTCAAAAAGCATTGCTCAAACATATTTAAACCTACAGCACAGAAATCCAGTATTCAGAAATACAGCCCTGAAGGTTAACATGGAATGCTCCAGCAAACAGCCCTGCTGACAGAGATGTTGCTTCTTGGGGAAGAGGTGGCCACGTTGGAGAGGAAGGAGGAAAACTACAGCTCCCAGCAGCCTACCCGGGCGCGTGAGGAAGGGCAGGGTTCACCTTTGCACCCACAGCGGAGGATTCAGAGTGTATTCAGGGAAAGGACTCTTCAGCCAGCCCCAGGGCAAAGGCAAGCCCCAAAGCCATTGCTGACCACCTCGCTGCTTCTAGTTGCCTCCCTGACAGGCTCCAGCCCTGCCTGGTAAGTGTCCGAAGGCACGTCATCTTTATACTTCCTTATTCTGCAAGCGGAACAGCGCCGGGAGGGGAGGGACAGGAGCCAGGCTGAGAGAGCCACACTCTGCACCCATGCACTCCTAATTCTTGCAGTAGCAAGAAAACTGAGCTACAGAGGCAGCCTGGAAGGGGGATAGGGGGGGAGGGAAGATGCCCCTCCAGCTGGGAATCAAGATCTTTGGTCTGCTTGAACTCATCTTCGGCAGGGAAAGTTTCTAATGAGTTTTCCACACTGCCTGTCACTGGTTGGCTGGCAGCACTGCACACTGTGAGTTCATGGCATACCGTAACGGTTACATGCACTCATTTTCCTGCAACGAAATTAACTTCGAGGAGAGGGAGGAGCCTCCCCTTCCACCATGAATCACTGCGGCTGTGTTTGCTCTTATCAGGTCTACAGGCATTCAGCTGCAGTTCCTGAGGCCGAGGCGGGATGGTGGCCCTGCCGGGGGTAGGACTTGTTCAGTCACCCCACCAGGGGGGAGACGAGTCCCTGGACAAGCAAAGGAGAAAGTGAAGCAAAACAGTGCTGGGATTCCAAGGGAGAAAAGAAATGGAAGAGAATTCAAGTATGGGTCTGCCCGGAGGTAAGTGAAATCTATGCTTGCTCCACTTCCTGGGAAAATCCCATTGCAAAAGGACTTCAACACTAACATGGAAACGGAAACCGAAAAAAGCTAAGAAAAATCCACTCTTCTCCAGGCAACGTTGTAGCAGGTTACTTTCAGTTTTGTATTCCTATCAGCAATAGGCTTAGACTTTGTGTTTGGGATGCAACTCAAGAAGGGCCGAAGACAGAGTTCAGGCTGGGAGAGCTTTCTTCCTGGTATCCCAGTGCTTTGTCATGGGAAATTGCTTTGTAATGCAGTGTGCAGAGAGAACACCTCTGGGCCAACAGCCCAGTGTAATCAGGTAGAGCAGCTCCCACTGGTACTGCTGTGCACAGTAGGTGGCAGTGACAGAGTCACTTCCCTTGGGTTACCAATCAAGGAGGAGGAGGTTCTGCTGCACAAATGTATCTTAAGTGCACCTGCAGAAGGAATTTCAGAGTTTACAACAAATATGCTTCCAGTGAAGAAGTGAGTCTTCACAAGGTTGTATCTACCAGGTAGGGATGAGATGGTTCAGCTCAAGTGCGGGCTCTTGATCCGCAGATCCAAACTCTGCACAGCCCAGAAGCCAAAAATTGATAGGCATTAAATAATAAGACAGTTTTCCACCACCTAGGGACGTAAAACCTACAGAGGAGGCAGGGCAAGGTACACTTCTTGTACCCAACTTGAATAGCAGGATACTTCTTGGCTCCTTGCATTTCAGTTCCTACCATGTGCTCCCATTCTCTGGTATCTTCTCTTGCACCGGAGCATTTCAGTGATAGCTTGATGCTATCTATAATCTAGGGTTGGCTTCCAAGGCAGCTATTGTGCAGACACCACCATAACTGTTATGACCAGTATTGAACAACAGCCTTAGAAATGGTTTGAGTCTATTATCTTAGTTTACTAGGCTAGGAAAAACCACTTTCTGGGGAAGAAGTGGTAACATACCCTCCATGTAATGAAGGGACTGCCACCCCCATAGAATGGTGTGCACAAGGTCTGCCTAAGATAGACTTACCTTTCAGCAAAGCGGCCTCTAGAGTGCTGTGTTTTTCTTTAACCACAAGTCCACAAGTGAAAAACATTGATAACAAAACAGTGTTTTGACTGCTGCGGAACAGCGCTTGTACAGGCTCAAGGTTTTCTCTTTCTCCCAAGAAGTAGGCTGAGATGGGCCCAAATTAGCTGAAGGGATGTTTCATGCACAGTAATGTCATGCTGAACAATACAGCTGGGGTAACGGGAAGAAAAAGGTGGGATGGGGTTGATTTCCAAAGTAGCCATTATCTGGAGACTCTCCAGTCATCAGCCTGCTTGTGTGAGAAAGTGAGTGATTGCCCTTGCATCACTTAGGACCCCCAATCCCCATCCTTCACTTATTTAAGTGTCTCTATCTCAAACTATGTGTATTCCAACTTTTAGTTAACCCAGGCGCCCAGCTGCATCAAGGCCAACCCACCGCACACTGCTGGTAAGATCTGAGCATTAAAAGTGCTTCAAGTTTCTGGTGTTGGACAGATCAAAGGACAGATAGAGGATTGCATCTCTGAAAGTGACTGCTCATTGTGTGGCTACCACTACAGCCAAAACAATGGAGTACTCTGTGTAAACATAAGGCACTGTGATTCACTGGTGATGATGGCTGGCCATGGTAAATTCTCCCCCAGAGCAGCTTGTGTAGATGTATCTGAAATGCAAGAACTGGGAGTTTTAGTAGGGTGGTAGTAAAGCGCTGGATGTTCTTATCTCCTGCATGGCTAACTGAGCTCGTGAACTCTGATCTCAACAGCTGGGCCAGCCCAGGAGGAGGTGGAGAGCACAGCCAAGCATCCTGTATACCAAGAACCTCCCCAAGAATCTCCTGAGCACCAAGTGACCAGCACATGGCCTGAGACCTCCTGCAAACCAGAGGAGGACACTTTAGTGTGTAAGCCACCAGCTGCTCATGGGGAAGAGGTGGCTCTGACAGAGTTAGATAGCCCCACAGTGGAGTCTCCTCAGGAGACTCAAGTTCCTCAGAAAACTGAAGTATCACTGGAAGAATCTGGGGAGACAAAAAATGATGCATCAGAAAGATCTCAGGAAGAAAATGAGTTGGACAGAGGTGAGTCTCTCCCCATCTGTGTGTACTGCATTTCCAAAATGCTGAGAAACAGAGCCTTTCCCTAGAGGGGGCAGAACAGGAGAAAAAATACTCGTTTCTTATGCTGAAAGAAACTAAGCATAGGTCTGTGAATTTCATTCCTTACAGCCAGGCTGATGCAAAATGAAATGGACTGTGCAGGACACAACCACGGCCTCCAGGAAGCCCAGGAGGACCAGGAGACAAGCAGGCAATGTGAAAGCTCTGACACAGCAGAGGAAGATGCTTTATCAAGAAGCAAGTCATTGAGCTCTGACAGCAAAATGACACATTCAGATCTGAACGCCCCAGAAGATGTCACCAAGGGCCTCTCGGTGCAGGAGAGCACCAGCGCTCCTCTCCTAGACCAGGAGGCAGGAGAGCACACAGAGCAAGTGAC